TTTTATTTTGGGACAATTTTATCGCCTCATCGTCTCATCGCCTTTCTCTGACACAAGAAAGGATTACAGTAATCTCAAGTGCAACATTCCACAAATAAACCATTCTAAGCCATGTTTTGAAGCACGCAACCACGCCTACCGCATCTCAGGGATATAAAGTTTGTTTCTTGTGGCCACCCGCCAGCAACAAGGTTCATTTACGTGATAGATAGTTCTCATAAATAGTGCAACATCCATCGAGAGGTGGGGGCGAAGGGTGAGGAACGGGGGGGGATCTCCGTCCTATCGGAAATAGTAAAATTGGTCGGCGGCTACCGTGAGAAGAAAATATTAAATAGCATACTGTTGCTAGCTGTCTTGTTGTCTTTCTCAGTGTGGCAATGGACGACGATAGACATACCTCAGAGCTAAGACTGGCGTGGTTGTGTCCTCGTCATTGCTGCGACGAGGGTCCAGACGGAAGAGAGGCAGAGACGCACGCATAAGAAAGCATGATACTCACCGGAATATGCGGAACTCGCTGGGAACATCTTTTGCCCTCCGATATGGGTGTACAATCTTGTTCGCTGCGATGATAGGGCGTGTTAGACGAAGTGGGTCTGGCTCGGCGCGGACCAGTTATCCACCGATTGTTTGGTAGAAGTGGGTAGGCGACAACAATCGGTAGAAAACGTATTGGCTCGCACCAACAGTGCCCCTGACACACCCCAACATCTTCGGCGATCAAGACGGTACCCACTCATCACGTCACTGGGCCTCCCGCATACCTCCGATGTCCAAGTTAGCTCTAAATCTCTGCTGAGTTCTGATCTCACGTTAGATGGTCGGGTGCGCCGACCGAAAAATGTTTTGTTCACAGTCTCACGTGGGCGGCTTTCGCATGAGAACCTAATTAAATCAATCAGCTAGGTAGCAAGTAGTGGATAGTTTGTAAGAGTCGACGCAACGCAGATGCAACGACTTGCTCTTGGTAATATGGGTTGCTGTGGTTCTAAGTCCAGTTCCCAACTCCCACGTATCACTTCTGAGAGTCCTATGGCTCATAATTTGTCAGGAAACGGCAAAAGAATTATTCAAGATGTAAGTTACCTCTCGGTCATATGACATGAATAATTCTTTTTCTAAATGAACGCAAAACGATGGTGATTTGTGCGCTAAATATGTGACGCTATTTTAAATATAAAATCATTTACGTCATTACATTGCACATTTCTGTACAGACTGAGAAAAACACCTATAAAGGGGTTTGCACATCTACGATGTTATTTCAAAAAGCATTATTCGTATGAACCACTGACGTTTCGGGAACAATAAGCCCAACTACTAACCACCTCAGCTCTATGAACTAGCACACGCACTGGGAAAGATCTACACAGTCCTGCTTAGTGGCAATAGCTTCTTGATGGTCATAGCCTCCTTTGTTGGATTTTTCGAACGGTCCTTTGGTATTGGAAGTGAATAAAGCACCTAATGAACATCTTTTTCGTACCGTGAGAAAGCGGCCAGCTCGGCTAATTATTCGAATAGCAAAAAAATAAACAAACGTCCATTGTAACATGGATAAAGCAATCGACGCTCTGCGGAATAAGACTTTTCAGTGGGTGATCTTTCACTCCTTAGGAATACCACATCAGGCTCTACCCTACTCCACAGTCATGAAACAAAGTACAGTCCTCATCATTGCGGACTGTCGGAGGGCGGCTGTGCAACGCGGTCCAAATGGGCGTTCGGCCTCGTTGCTCTACCAATGGCGATCGGGTAAAGATCGATTTAGGGAGGGAGCAACCAATGATGGAAACGCCGCAGGTGCGAGCCGCTGATTGCGACCCGACAATTGCGGTGATGTAAAGTGTAAGGCATGAATTGAACACCGATGAATTGAGTTGTGAGGGCGAGCCGACGGTCAGGTAAGTGTTTTATCCTCCTGGACGAAGGTGATACCAGTATACCGTGAGAGGGATGAAGGGTTGGCTGGCTCAGATGGATGGGAGCCGACCCGGGTTTCACCCTGGATCGCGACGCGAATATGATAAGCATGGCTTGCCACACACCCATCCCACCTCGCGCTTTATGATGGGCCGTCGAAGTCTTCGTGGGTGGCCTTGAAAAAGAGAAATGCATTCGCTCATTGCCTTGACCATTAAGGGGAGAAACAGTAGGAACACGCCCTAAATATGGCCCTCCTCCTTAAGACAAAAAGGAGCGTTGTTGCACGACAGAATAGACAAAAGCAGCGAAAGAGCATTCCAGCGAGCGACGACAGTCAAAGCGGGCGGAGTCACTGATGATCAGGTGGAGTCACTAAAGGAATCGTGTCCTAAACGCTCCTACCCTGCAACTTCTGACGTAAAATGCGCAAGGTAGTCCATGGCCTCTCCCTGGCTCGGAATAGTATAGGTAATTGCAAAATGTTCATTCAAGCGAGGCTAGTACATCAGAAAAAAGACACTGCATGGCACCAGTACAGACTTCATTTGACGAAATTCAGCAGGACCGTGCTGTTGAATTGGTTGGGTGGATGTTTAGTACTGGAATTGGCCAGCATGGTCTTGTTCCTTAGTTTCAGCAAAGCCTCCCAGTAGGTAACACCTAAGTGAAATTCTATGTGGCAAGTTTCAGGTGGATCCCATGTGGCCAAATGACGATATACCTATTTAAATTCACGACATATACATTGATGCACAGCGGCTAATAAACCACCTTTTTTGAACTTTTCAAGGCTGTTGCTCTTCTTTCTGCGGAAAAAGGCTTTATGGTGTTCATGTAGAGCTATGATTTAGCAAAAGTTTCTAGGAAATGGGTCGTCAAACAACAAGACCTCCATGTTAGCCCTCATGACGCTCAACGCTCCTTAACCCCCATGTTTTTAACTGTCGCATGTTTTGTTGTTTTTAACTAATGAAAATAGGCCTGTGAGAAAGCTGTGGGGCCCCAGAGAGATAAGTAACAGAGGTTCACCAGGGAAGAGAATGACCGCATCTCCACGATCGAAGGAGATCGCTCACGCGGCCAGTTAACCAAACGAACCGAAATAATTTCCCGTGTGCCTTGCAGGCGGCCTTGTCGCACATATAAATGTGTCTTATGGCCTTCTGATGCAAAAGAACAGAGATCACCAATTCAAATTCTTCCAGTTTTACTAGATATAGGATGAAGAGAACTAATCAAACGTGAGAAACAGCAAAAGTGTCTAATTACTAATAACCCTTTTTCCCTGTCACTGGGACAGTATTTTTCTTAGAAGATAACAAACCGCTCCCTTTCGCATAATTGCTCAACCAGGAAGTAAGTTCGTCTGAGAGATGGTGTTTGTTTTCTTGGAACTTTGGTAATTTCCCATGTGAGTGATGACGAAGAAATTCTACATCCTATTACATTTGTTTGTTACATTTGCACTCTTCGAAACCACTCTGTCTCATTACAAAATTGATGTTGACCCTTCTGCGAACATGAAGCAAGCCAGCCGAGTCGCCTTTCAGCACGTTTCGTTCGCCACACTCAGAAATTTCTCCTTTCAAGGGATGTGGTGGACCCTGTGGTGGCCCAACAAAGAAAGGTGGGACAGTGAGGGTTCAAGTGGATCAAAATCCTTGTTCCCTTGTCAGGAGACACGAGTTGCGACAACGCGGTGAAAGTGGCGACGCATAAGCAGTAGATTAAGCTGAATCAACTAGCTAGGAAACGCGCCGAGGCAGTTACGCCGCGACTCGAAACTCCAGACCCGCTTCTTCATGACCTCTTTCGACGGGAGGGCTCACTGATACCTAACCAGTGCACAAGGGGCAAACCTCTTATTCAGTGCCTATCCTACTGAATGACTGTTTCCCCTCATTGGGTGCTTAGTTAGCAAGATGCCACCTGGGTTCAAGTTCGTGCAGGTGCTGAGCCAGCTCTGTTTGGGCGTCTTTTGGAAAACTCTCTGGGCACCTTACGAGGATAGCATCAAGTTTGGAAGGCACTAGAAACAAATAGGGCATTCGCTTTTGCACACCACTGCCAGTTAGCGCTCCGCCAAGGCTGACCCAGGCAGGCCGAGCGCCTTGCCCGGCAGTCTCGACCATTTAAAGCGCAGATGATCAGAGTGCCTGCAATCAGTGTCAGGAATGAATGCCATTTTCGTGATATCACGCCAAATAATCCTAGCAAGCAAGTTAATACAGTTTTCCATCAGAAAAAAGGTGGCGGCGCCAAAAAACGCCAGAACCAAAAACGACAATAATAATAATTCGTGCTCAGAGAATAGGATAGCCTTCGCAGGCGGAGTTTGAGCGAGAACTTCCTCACATTCTGGAAGGAATGGGGCCAGAAAATTCCAATGGACTACGAAGCTTCGGAACACTCTGGTCTTGAGAGAAACGAAGAAATGCGTAATTGAATTTCGAGATTCCGGGGAGGCCAACCGCGATACTGACACGTCATAGGGCAGCGTTTCAACTCGCGAGCGACAGCGCTCAGTCGCGCATCTTCCGATTCGCGACTCACCGCTGATGAAGCCATATCGAATGGACGCGCGGCCACCCAAACGCTCTTTGGCGAAAGTCTGAACGCTGCCACATGCAGGGCCGACATACAGTGGTCATCGCTTACACTTTCTTCAGTCAATCGTCAGTGCGAACGGACGTGCGCGCGTCGCCACGCGACCTTTACTGCAATAATCGTTGAACCAGGAAGTGACATTACTGTATTATATCCTTCGTGTTACTCGTTTTCTATCACTTTTTGTCGCATACGCGTTTCAACGAAAAGGCTGAGAAGGCTTCAAACAGTGTGCACGCTCCTTCTCGCCGACACGCCCCTATCAAGTGCAAGGATGACGACTGTAGGACAATGTGTCCACAACCCTCCTTTAGTACCAGTGTGTTTCGTGAAGTACTTCTGAACTTCACTCGGTAGCTACGAGTTACTCGAAATCTGCACTTTCTAGGAAATAAAACACCTTCAATTACACGAAGTCAAAATAGTGTTTATTTCTAAATGGAGCTTTGTACAAGTCTTCAAATCTAAATTATACTCCTAGTGCCCTTGGATTTCGGTCGTCGAGCATCAAGTTCCTGAGCTTCTTGGATTCTTCGACTTTCTGCTTGCTTGTGAGCCGCCTCCATCGCATTCACTTCTTTTAGTAACTCAACAATTCTCTTCTGGAAAATCGAAAATGAGCTTATCCCTCTTTCACGACTCCTGGTGATTTCTAACATCTATTAATATTCTTAAAAGCCTTAAATCCTTACCGCTAACCGCAGCTGGTCTTGTTTATACTCCAGCTGTACTTTGGAAGTCACGTGAATAGGCCGCCCATCTGAAATAGCACACTTCAAGCTTCAGCAACTAACCTCTACTGTTCGACTTTTCGAAATGGGCTACAGTACAGTCGAGGCTTTCCTGAGGTAGAATCAGCCAAACTTGGACGCCCAAGGGTCCTAATGTAGCTCGGGGGGGGGGGGTGATAGGCACGCATATATGACGATTTTATCTCTGTGGTGTCAACTGGGCGAGATATCGCTGATTCCGATCAGGTCTTCTGCACTCTGCTAATAAGTCTGAGCTATAGGCGAAGAGGAAGGGGCGTAGAGCCGCTGCCGCGTATTCGATCCCCTCTCCTCCCGAACTTAGCGCCCCGTGGGAGTGGTGTGACCCCAGACGAATGCCACACCATTTAGACTAGACCGGGAACTTCTGGTGCGAGGGAAGCAATCCCCTTGAAGAAATCCTAGTGGCCTGGTTTTCGAAAAGTTTGGCAGTGAAGGGTAAATAGTAGTACCGGAACATCTAGATTAGGACCGAATATCAGGAAATAGCATCGAGATTAATGAAATGGCGGTCTCAGTACGACTCTCTTAATTTCCTAATACCTGCTTAGTATCTTGCCACTTTCTCCCAACTCCTTACCAGTTCACAAATTCCCAAAGAAATATTTCTAATTTTTCTAGAAAAAAATAGCGTCGTGGGCGAGGAGAGTTGCCACTAACCAACTGCAACAAGTAGCAACTGTGTAGTAGTCCTGTGGCTCCGTCAAAGGGAGGGACTTTGCAGGCGTGGGTAATCCAAGGCGCACGAAACGGGAAAAATCGCGAAAAGTTAGCAACTAAAGAAGCCTCTCGCGGCCCAAAAAAATCCTCTCGCAATACGACCCCCACAGACCTCCTTCACAGCGACCAAGTCTGAGCTCTCGATGGGACTCCCCCAACGATGATGTAGACTGCCGACAATACCTATGAAGTAAATTTATGAACCTACCGGCATGAGAAAAATCAGGTCCCATTTCAAGTGGGTGGACATGTGGAGCAACGTATACCCTAAAACCAGCATCTCTGAGAAAATTTTATAAAAAAATATGATGCTAAAACAACTCACGGTTTCTTCCAGTCTTGAAATCGACCTCTCACCCGTGTCTCACTTGCGATCGCTGAACTAAGCTGTCGCAATTGAAGAAGTGGCCGATGTGACGACATTCCCTAACAGAACTTAACAATCTCACTGGACCTGACCAGTAATTGAGGGCGCTGTTCGGCTTGGGGGGGAGAAGGTGGGGAAGGAGGGGAAGGAGGGGCATTTTGCACTTCGCTAAGTCTTCTTTTCTGTTCACTTCAAGTAAAAGGGCTTACCTTGGCCAGACCTGTGAACTCCTGTGAGGCTTCGGAATGATGCGAGTGACTTTTTGATCGTACAGGTTTTCACAAGATGGCCCGTACAAGCTTAGCCGAGTCCCATTCAGTGCCCCCACCAAGCCGAACTACGCTCTAAAAGAGTACTGGTAATTACCGTACTTGAGCATGAACGCGTGAGCGATATGAATCAGTGGCACTCAAACCATAAACATACAGGACAGAACGATTCGATCAAACTTTGTTTCAATCGACAAGACAAAATGCAATAACGAAATAGGAATGCACATATAAACATTTACAACACAAAATAAATAGATGAATAACCAAGAAATCTTATTAAGGACTTACTCTACAACAAAAAGAAAACAGTGAAATTCAGTTTATCTCCACCCGATATATTTACACCAAGCAGAGCTTTACAATGAGAGGTAAAGGATGTGAGAGGCAATTGAGGAGGGTGTTCTCATAGTTCACGTAAAAATGGGAGGTCAACTGTTGCTACCGGCACATCATCGATGGAATTCTCATAAAAGCAGTGGGTGAGGGTGAGGGTCCCGCAATCCACAAAATATTCTCCACTGTTATCACAAGAAGTTATGGGCAATAGCATAACGCATAGTGCACTCACCCAGTAAGTGTGAGGTGTGGGTTCGAGTCCCGTCTGAGGTCAAGGCTTTTGCCCGTAACTCAGAATTCTTGTGTAACTTTCGGAAGGCAGAACTGCGGCGTTGACAGTATCATCACAAACACGTTCTTTCCCCATTGCGTTTATGAGCACTGGCTGCCAGGTATTCAAACAGGTGGGGTGAAGACGGTATGGAGATATCGCGAAGAAGACGAAAAATGGCACAAAATGACAAATTTGGGAACCACTGAACTACTACTATCCCAAAATGCCAACATTTTTGCTGAAACTTTACCTATAGGATTACTTCGGTGCTCGATCAAAAATATTACATTACTTTATGGCGCTGGTGCCATGCGGCGCCAATAGGCCAATAGGCGTCAGTTTGGTGCCGCCTCCCTCCTGACCGAAAGAAATGAAAACTTCTATACGACGGAAGGGCGTATTTGACATTATGACTAAGATTTTGGCATTCGATTTTGACGCCGGCGAAATTTGTTTTTGGTGCCCCCTTCCTTTCCATCAGAAACAAAACTATTAACAAATCTGCACATTAGGACCGTTTGGTGCCCTCATAACGAACATGACATCCATTTATAGGTGGCGCTAATGTAGGGCACTCTGATCATGTGCGTTCTGCTGAAAGTGAGACTGGTCGGGGGGGGGGGGGCGAGGGTGGGGGAGGATACACTCCTCCTCCCAGGTTCAGCCTTAGCAGAGCGTAAGTGGCATTAGTATCGGAAAGTGAATGCCATGATTGTGATCAGGACATGGAATAGCCCCATTATGCAAGTTTTCGTCGATTTCCGTAAAAAAGGGAGGGTGGGGGGGGGGGGGGGG